AAGGCTTTTGTCTCCCACTGAGGAGGTTCCTCGAGGCACAATAGGGGGTCATTAGGGCCTTTGGAAATGGTCACTGGTGCTCTGCAGCATTGAGCCACCAGCTGATAGTGCTGCCTCAGGCCAGCAGTGCTAGGGATGCAGCCTGGGGTCCTGGGATCACTTCTGGAGGTATCCAGGCATGAGAATGGTGCCTGGAGCAGCACTGGGAGTGGGGTTTGGTGGCAGCTTCCCTCTGGTTTTAACAGCTGGGGGGATTCAAACTCGTCTGTACCCAGAGCATCACCTCCAGCACCTGACGCTGAAGGCTCTGACTAGAAGGCTGCTGTTGTTGAGAAAACAGAATGGAATAACAAAAAGGGCAGTTTACTCTCTACAGAAACACTTAATAAAGTATTCTGGTTTTTTAAACTTAATAATGGAGGAGAGGAGCTGAGCTGAGCAGCTCTGGCAGGCAGCTCGGATGGAGGAGAGCGGATGTGCTCCCACCTGGGGATGCGTGTCAGTAATGATTTGCCTTCCAGTGACCCCTCACCCATCTTGTGCTAACGAGCTTTGCAAACGAGAAAGTGAGCAAAGGCTCCTTTTTCACTTTACATGAGCAGGGACTTGTTTATTTTCCTAAGGCACAATCTCACACAGGTTTTGGTGTGTGCTTGTGTGCCTTCCTCCAAAGATGATCCTCCTCCCGTTGTGTTTGCCCTGGGGGTGCTGCTGGGCAGAGGAGCTGTGCCCAGTGCTGGTGGCAGGAGGCCACAGGGTGCCACACGCTGTGCTGGGGTGACAGCAGTGGGCACGGGTGTCCCATTTTGTTCCAAACCACAGCCCCTGTGAATCAGTGAGGCTGGATCTGGTGTGTTCCCAGGGCCTGCCAAATCTGCCACTCTGTGTCACTTTGGAGATGTCATTTAAAAGAGAAAAAAGCCTGTTTTGCAAAACAACAGATAAAAATAGCACTTCCTATTCAGCACATCCATTCCCTGTGAGTACTCAAAATTCATGTGCTGACTGCAATCACAGGAATAAGGACCTGTGTGCTCTGGGATGGGAGGGGATGGGCTGGTGTCCAACTGTGCCATCAGCCAAACCACATGGAGCTGCTGGTGGCTCCTTCTCCTCAGAGCCCTTGGCAGCAGCAGCAGGGTCTGAGGGCTGGAGCTGAGGGTCATGTTTAGCCTTCAGGACCTGTGTTATCAGTGATAACACAGAACAAGAAAAGAAAGTTTTCTTTTCCAATGTCAAGAGCAATTTTCAGGGTTGTCTGGCAGCACAGAGAAATCAGTTCGCTTCTGCATAGATGGAGTGGATTTGCAAGAATGTGGAATTATATTTGTATGGTAACAGCTTCTCCTTGGATTTTGAGCAGACCAAGAGCTGGAGTCTCCCTCTAGGTCTCCCTTTCCTCTCCATAGCATGGATCAAGCACCTTTTCCCAAGCTCTGAGCTATATTTCCTGGTCAGCTCCACGGATTAGGGATGGGCTGGGAATTGGACGTGAACGCATGCAATATGAGTCTAACGTGGTAAACCACAAACAGCTTTTTCTTTTGAATCTCTGGGTAACAGTGTGTGGGATCCCTTTGCTTCCTGGCTCAATAAATCCATGTGTGGGTGAGGGGTGTGCAGAGGTGTTTGCCCAGGACCTGTTGGGGCACCAGCTTTCCTCCCCTAGGGTGGGACGTGCCACCTGTGCTCGCCCAGACAGAGTTATTGACCGAGTTACTTATTGATTTTGTAATCATTTTCCAACAGAGCCCCCCGTCCTGTGTCACCGCCAAGGCAGATTGCAAATTGAACTGCACCTAAATTGATGGGGCATTGATTAAAACTCACCATAATTATTGGTTCTCTGCTGCCCAAGCCAGGCAAATCAATGTCAGCAAGAGCAGATCTGCTCCTTTATAAAAGCACAGTGTACACAGGGTGACTGCTGGCTTTCCAAGCTCATCCAGAAGCCCAAGCTGGTCCATCAGGGAGTCAGGATTAGCACAAAGTGGCTTCTTCCATGGCTGTTTCTGACTCCTGTGAGCAAGAACATAGCTGCACTCAAATGGACTTCAGTTTTCCCCCAGTCTGATCTATCAGTCAGGCATCCCGATAGGAAATCCTCTGCTCCAGGGGCAGGGAGGTGCGTTACAAAGATTTATAAGCCCAGAGAAGCTGTGGCTGCCACAGGCAGTATCCAAGGCCAGGTTGGAGAGGGCTTGGAGCAACCTGGGATAGTAGGAGGCATCCCTGCCCATGGCAGGGGAATTGAGCTGATTTTTAAGGTCCTCTCCCACCCAAACCATTCTGTGATTTATTGTGTTCAGTAAGTGCTTCATCCACCTATTCATCCCTGCAAAACCCGCCATGGAGAGGCTGGTGTTGCCTGGCCAGTACTAATTGCCAAGTTTGCTGATTCCCCTGGCTCTCCTGGGCAGGGACACGTGCCGAGGTTTCACGTTGGCTCCCAAAGCTTTCTGTCCCTGGAGAGCTCCGTGCTGGAGAGGCAGCTCTGCTCTGAGCAGGGATGGATGTGGAGAGACAGGAGCGCTTTCTTTTGCAAATGCTGTGCCGAGCTATTTGCCTGCTGTAATTAATGACTATTAGGATGCATAATTATGAACTGAAAGGAAACACGTTTCCTGGTGGTTAAGAGCCAAAACTGGAGGAATATCCCAAGGGTGGCCTCAAGCAGAGTGGGATGAAGGGAGGGAGGGCTTTGCTGACCCACTAACCCAGTCACAGAGAAAGAACCATCTTCTTCCTCTGTGGGCTGGAGAAGGTGCTGAGCTCAGCACGGGGATCTGTGCCAAGGCAAGAATTCCGAGTGACAGCACTGAAAAGCCTTGGCTGATCCTCTGGCTGTGGTCCTGTTACAGTCCCATCCAGTTGCCTTCAGCACCCTGGAAGATCCCTCAGGAGATCCTTGAGCAGAGCCCTGCCCTCCCCTGTCCCCGTGGATGTGGGGAGAGCAGCAGAGGGGTGGCTGCAGAGCCGTGAGGCAGAGATGCTGTTTGCAGCCAGACCTCCCCGTGTCCTCCAGGGAGATCTCTCTGCCAATTTGCACAGCTCTGCTCTTACAGCAGACAGGGAGGAGATAAGAGCTGTATCTGCAGATTCACAAACGCTCTCATCCTGGTGCTGCTTCCCAGGCAGCTCTGGGCACGGATTGCTCTCGGTGTCCTCTCCTCCTTCATTGTTCTGTGTATGCATCTGGGTAGGCTCCTGCTCCCAAATCTGCTGCTGCTTCCTGCTGCTAATTCCAGAGCTGTGTCTTTGGCACCCTGCCTGCTCTGCAAGGATGGACAGCATCCTATTCCAGAGCCCTTTGCTGCCAGGATCCTTTGGATGGAAAAGCCTCGTGCCTTCCCTTCTCGCCCCACCCAGTGTCCCCAGGGATGGTGCTGAGGTGTGTGAGATTCAGAGCTGAGGGCACAGGAGGCTGTCAGGGATCTGAGGGACAACTGGCACAGAGATCAGCACATCCCAGTTGCTGCAGGTGGGGCAGAAGCAGTTTGGATGCTGCTGCTGTAGGGAAGTGGCACAGGGTTTCTGGGAGGTGGAGAGAAAGATGGGGATGAACATGTTCTAGCAGGGTAGGACAATTGTGATGGTTTTAAACTGAAGGAAGGGAGGTTTAGATCAGATGTTAGGATGAAATTCTCCCCTGTGAGGATGGGCAGGCCCTGGCACAGGGTGCCCAGAGCAGCTGTGGCTGCCCCTGGATCCCTGGCAGTGCCCAAGGCCAGGCTGGACAGGGCTGGGAGCAGCCTGGGACAGTGGGAGGTGTCCGTGCCCATGGCAGTAGGGCTGGAACTGAATGGTCTTGAGAGCTCTCTTCCAACCAAACATTCTGTAATTCTGTGATGGCTCAGAGGGAGCCAGGAGTCCCTAAAGCCCCTTTCTGCTGTCCCTGTTTGCTTCCTAAGTAGCCAAGAGTGAGCGAGGCTCAGCAGCCCATCTCCCATCAGGACCCTGCTGGTGTCAGTGAACACAAGGTCCAGGGTCTCCTGAACTTTTATTAATATGTACAGCATTTTGCTCACATGGAAAATTGATTTTCTTTTTTAAGCACAAAGTGTAGTGTAGTGGTTTTATAACCTTTCTTCTGCTTGACAAAGGCCATTTATAAACTGCCTTCATGACTACCTGGGCCATCTCCAGTCTAACTCATCTTCAAGAAATTCCATAATGCATTTTTAATTGTGAGCTGCTCCCAGACCAGATTTATTTATTTTTTCAAGGACTGGCCTTTTTGTTTTTGTTTGTGTGCATGTCTGGTGAAAAAGAATAAATAACCAAAGTGGAAGTATGCTTTGATCTGGGTGACAATTTATTGACAGCATTTGCCATCTGCTGGCTTTTATCTTTTGGGGCAAGGATAACAAGCTGGGGAAGAACTGGAATTAAAAATTAGAGCCATGGTTCCCTCAGGTGTGGAAAACTGATGAGCCTGGGCTGCCATCCTGGCTGCCCCCAGTCCTGCTTCTGCCACGAGCTGGTCCTGCCCACAGCAGGCATCAAGATCCTTTTGGGCATGATGCCAAGGCCGTGCTTGCTGACCTGCCTGGCATGGGTTGAGATGGATTTCTAGGTCATTCCCAAGCACTGAGATGGTTCTCTGTGTCAGTCCCAGGAGCTGAGGTGTTTATTTCTGCGTTGCACTGGATTTTTCTGCACTTTGGAGGAACAGAGAGCAAACACAGAGGGTTGTGAAGTTTTACCCCACACTGGCTTGAGGCTTTATTGCTGTGTAGTTTTGCTGCCCCAGGGATTTCACCCTCTTCCAGAGGGAGGATGAGGGAGGAGGCTTTGCCAGCAGACCAGATCCGTGCCCCTTGCTCCTGTGCGAGGTGATGCAGGGCTACCCCATCCATCTCCCAGGACAAACTCATCTCCTTCAGCTGGAAAAGGAGTCCAGCAGCTCTGGCTCTGGGACAGCCCGAGAGGCACAGGGGCTGCAGGGTGGGTGGGGGAGGACACCCAGGTGATGTTTCCCATGTCCTGTGTCGCTGCAGTGCCCCGAGGAGCTGCGGCCCATGAAGGATGGCACCGGTTGCTACGACTACTCCAAAGGGATCGACTGCTCCGACGGCTTCAACGGCGGCTGCGAGCAGCTGTGCCTGCAGCAGACCCTGCCCCTGCCCCACGACCCCTCCTCCAGCACCATCTTCATGTTCTGTGGGTGAGTCCCCTCTGCTCAGCCGTGGGGCTTGAGACAGCACAATAATGTCAAAATCTGTGGTATTGATGATCCCGAGATTGTAGAAAGTCTCTGTCTTTCTGCCCCACTGCCAAAGCAGAAGCCATAATTCATCTGTGCTGGTTTCAAGGTTGTTTATTCTGTTTATCTCTAACATGTTCTGCTGCCCTGCTGCAGCTCTGTCCTGCAGGGCAGCGTGTGGGGCTCTGCCCTCAGTGGGATGTTACAAACATTAAATACCAGAAACTACCTGTGCTGGATTTACAATAACGTGCCAATATCTGTCACCTACGTTGGACAGTGTGTCCCCAGCCTGAACCAACAGAAAAATGCCAACACCACAGTGAAACATGGAGGGCATGAAGAAGGAGAAAAAGGACAAGACACACCCAATTTCCTCCATCTTGTCCCCTTTGGACCCCTAATCTAGAATCCTAAAATTTTACTTTTGCACCCATGCCACACGTAATTATTACTCATATCAAACACTCAGAGCTGGTAATTGATCCTGTAAGATTGAAAACTCTTTTCCATGGACAGAGATCACAGACAGTGTCTCTGGGGGCTCTGTCCAGGGGGGTTCCTGACCCCTGCCAGGGTCCCAGACCTGCCAGGGCAGCCAGAGAGAAGCTCTGGACTCCCACACAATACAAAACAACACACTCCATTTGCAGAAGGCTTCAAACTATTTTTATTCTAGTATGCATGCTTTTTATACATTCTTACAAACTCATAACTTACACTTTACTCATTGGTTAGGAAATGCAAAGTGCTCATTGGAACAGGCAGTGGCAGGTTTCTCTTATTTATTCTTCTTTCTTTCTTGGTTTCTATGTCAATGACCTTGGTAGAAAATTCTTCCATGGGGCCTCTTATCACACTTCTCTCTGGCTCACAGGAGTCACTGTAAAACCTCTTCCACAGTCAGTCCCCTCCAAGGCTCCTCAATGAGCAGCCCCTTCCTGTAATTATTGTTTTGTTACTATACATCAAGCTGCAGGTTATCTGTGTTTGATCACAGCCAATGTCCTTTATCCAAGGAGCAGCAGTTTCCATATCTGCACGTTCAAACGACACTTGCTGATCTCGTATTGGCATGACTTGTTCTGGTGTGGGTGCTGGTAAAGCCAGAGCCTTGGCCATTGAAGTATTCTTGGGCATTACCAGTGGTGGGTGCAAAGCCTGAGCTAAAACAGTTCTTCATTACAATTTGCTAAAACAAGGGATGGATAAATTACAAGCCTCAAAATACTGCTTCTGTCTTTACCTATAATCAAAAATTCTTGTCTTTTCCACAATGTTCCAGTAATTCCTGGGGGAATTACCACATGATTTTCATGCACCTCATCTCCATCCCTGCCACCTCCTGTGCCACCCATCCCAACCCAGCCTGGAGCTGGGTGTCCAAGAAAAAGGCTGTTGATGGAGCTGACTTTCAGCAGGAAATAGAGGCACCTGGTGTTCCTGAGGGAAGTGTGAGGAGCAGTGTGAGCAGATGCACCTTCCTTCTCTCCCCCACGGTGTGACAGTACAGTGTGATCTGTGACTCACTGTGAAGGGACCCAAAAATTGTACATTGTGTGTTGGAGGGGAAGGTGTAGGATTTGTTTAAAAAATACTACTTTTAAAATTTACTTTTTTTTTTTCCCCTCCCCTGTGCCTCCCTTAAAAATAGAGTCTCATCTCTGATTTTGGCCAGGATCTTATAATCCTACACAATTTAGCATTTTCTCTCAGGAAGATCTCCCTGGCTGCAGTGTGCTCTGAAAGGAGCTCAGTGATTATCTGGCTTTATGCTGCACAGCTGCAGCCATCCATCGCCTGCCCCAGCCCCACGGCTGGTTCACCTTCTCAGGCACACTCAGGAGCCACGTCCCAGGGTGACAGATTAGGATGAAGAAGAGGGAAAAAAGCCCTTTTGGAAAGAAAATGCCCACAAGCAAGGAGGGGAGTGAATTCCTGGCAGTAACTCCGAGGAGCATCCGTCAAGTCCCGATGCCTGAAGGTGCAGCAAAGACCTCACGCAGCTCTGACTGCTGGCTGGTCCCTGGGAAGAGCAGCCCAGGGAGCTCTGCCTCTGCCAGTTTATTTATCCCATTTTTGCTGCTTTGTTTTTTTATTTTCCACCCCACTACCTTTTTTATTATTGTTTAGCAGCACAGAGTGACCGAATCACCAAAACAGAGCACGTTTTCTTCTCTGTGCCTGAAGAAGGGGTTAGAAATTCATGTGGGCACCAGCATCCTTTGTGGGGAGGGTCTAGAAAATCTTGGGACATTCCATGGTCTCCACCCACACAAATCTGCATTTCAGCCTGCGTCCTCAAGGACAGAAACTCTTTCCTTTTTTTTTTTTTTTTTTTTTTTTTCATAATCCCTTTTCAAGGCTGAGCTGTGCTTTGGGAGCAGGCAAGGAAAAGTGTGACAGACAAGTGGGAGTTCTGCTTGCAGTGAAATGCAGTAGAGGAAAGGGAGAGGGAAGCAAGCCTGGGTAGAAGTGGGGTTGGTGTTGAGCACTGGGGCTGTGGGGAGGAAGGAGCAGGGAGGGAACAGAGGATTCCCAGTATGGTGGGAACTGACAAAAAGGCTGGTGGAAGGGGAGGAGAGGCAGGATGGCACATTTATAAAAGATTCCACCGAGGTCTCCAGTGTCTGCAGTTAAATCACATCCCTGCTGCTTGCCTCAGTTTCTCTTCCTGTCAGTTGAAGATGAACATGTGAATTTTACCCAGAATTGGCTTGAAAGTGGGATCAAATAGCAGAGGAGCAGCCAGGCTGAAGCTGCTTCCTTGCAGGAGGGTATTTTTAGGTGGAAGAAGGGGCAGGGGCTTGATTTTGCTTTGCTGTGGTGTGGGAAATGTTTGTACCCAAGCAGCAGGCACACAGTGGGCTCAGCTCTGCTCTCCAGCACAGCTACAGGCAGGACAGCATGGAATTATGGAATGGTTTAGGTTGGAAGGGACCTGAAATCTCCTCTTATTCCACTCCCCTGCCATGGGCAGGGTCACGTTCCCTCAGACCTGGGTGCTCCAAGCCCCAGCCAGCCTCACTGCAGGCAGATGGGCCACGCTGCTGCAGGAGGGAGGGGAACCAAGCCCCCATTCACTGGTCACCCAACCCAGCCAGGGCAGGGGATTTGGGCTCTGGGACCCCTCAGGTGTCCAAACAACAGCTGCAGGTGTTGGTGGTGCTTGGCTGGGCTGGTGGGGTGCTCTGTGCCTGGCTCATCTCCCGTGCTGCCCCACAGGTGTGTGGAGGAGTACAAGCTGGCCCCAGATGGGAAGTCCTGCCTGATGCTGTCTGACATCTGCGAGGGCCCCAAGTGCCTCAAGTCGGAGGCCAAGTTCAATGACACCCTTTTTGGGGAGATGCTGCACGGCTACAACAACAGGAGCCAGCACATCAACCAAGGGCAGGTCTTCCAGATGACCTTCAGGTATGTCCTGGTTCTGCTCCTAGTTTTGGGAATATCAGGCTGGTGAGCTGGGGCTGAGGTCCAGTGGGACAGAGCCAGCATCTCTGATTTGCTCGTGAGGGGAAGAGAGCAAGAGGATAAAAGCACCCGTGGCTTTCCTGCCTGCTCATTGTTCCCTCTGGCAGCAGGACAGGACGCCCTGGGCTGGTCTGTGTCTTGTCAGGATGAAACACATCCAGCTGTGCTCTGTGGACCTGTCTCAGGAGAATTGTCTCATCTCTTTCCAAACACTGATGTCTTCCATCTCCATGATATCCTGCAGCAACGAGTTGTTTGGTTGTGTGCAGTGTGAAGGAGCATTTCCTTTGCTGTGTTTGCAGCCCGTGCCAGCTGGTTTTATTCAGTGCCCCCATCACAGCGCTGAGAGGAACTGTGGATATAGCATGATAAATAATGTAAATGAGCTGAAGGTACATGCCTTCACCTTGCAGGGCTCACAGAGGAGAGCTTGCTGAATTCAGGCAGGTGACTTATTTAGTTATTTTCCTTCAGGTCTTCTGAATGCAGCTGTGTTTTGATTAGGTGTAAGCCAGGGTGGCTCTGTGAGTTCCGAAGCAGCAGCACTGATCAGAGTCAGGAGAGGATGCAGCCCACACCACACCCAGGCACAGCTCTGCCTGCCCAGCACCTGATTATTTCCTTTTCAGGCATCAGCACCTCACTGCTGCCTCTGATTTTAGCTGGAGCTGTGGGTCCTCATCCCTGCTGCCCACACAAAACTTTCCCCGGCTGTGGATTCAAGCTCAGCTCCGGCCTTCTGCTCTCTTGATGACAGAGGCATCACAAGCTGCATCAGCAAAAGCTTTGCTGGGAGTGAGAACTGACAGGACACAAAGGCAATTTTCCCAGCAGACTCCTCTTTGCTTTCTCTCCCTCATGTTAGAATTGTCAGTGGAATCATCAGAGCAGAGCCAGGGCTGCAGAGATGAAGTTTTCCATGAGCTGGTGGCTCTAAGGGATGCCTTGTTGCTTCCGAGTAGCAAATGTATCCCCTTTTCTCAGTGCTGAATTCCATCTGGAAGGCACACAAGGATTGTTCTGTGGGGCTGATAAGTTTATCCTGGGGCACGTGGCTTCTTCAGGTCTTCCCCTCTGAGGGCACCCTGGGCATGGCAGCTTTGGGCAGTCCTGAGCTGGACCAGGAGCAGTTCCTGCCAGGTTGCCCTTGGAATAAAACACCACTATTGTAAATGCAGGCAAACCCAATGGGTAGAAATGTCGATGTCTGACTCAATTCAGAAGGCTGAATTATTTATTTATTATAACTATGCTAAAATACATTAATATGCTATATAAAAGGAGGATACTAAAACTACATACTACTTTCTCTGACTCTAACACAACTCATGACCCTCTCTGAGAGTCCAGCCCCAGGTGGGTTGGATTGGCCATCAGGCTCAAACAATCCTCACCAGAATCCAATCAAACAATCACCCCAGGGAAACAATTCTTCAAATACATTCCACATGGGAAAAACAAGGAGCAGAAATAAAAATTTTCTCTTTCATTTCTCTCTGTGCACCTCTATGAAAAACCCTGAGAGGGAGAGAAACGTGCTTGCCACACACCTGAGGTGTTGGGATGTACCTTCCAGGGGCAGAAAGCACTCCCTGGGGGGAGGGATGGGTTTTGTGGTTAAAAAAGGGCTGTTGGTCCTCCCTGGCAGGGCTGGCACCACTCCTGCCCTGCTGGCACCACTCCACCCCTACCCTGTGCAGCGGGAGAAGCTTTTCCCAGAGAGGAGCTGTGCAGTGACAGCCAAGTTCTTTGTACAACCTGCTGTCACACACAGGGGTTTCAGTCTCTTTAGTCCCAGAATTAGAATTGATTTCAGAATTAGAGGTTTTTTTGTGAGTGCTGAACACTGGAGAATTCTATGAATTGTTTGTTGTGTTAATGTGGCTTTTTTTGTAATTGTTTTTGCTAATTTTTTGAGAGTACTCTCTTTTTGATTTGTATTTTTTAGGGATTACTGGTTTACTTATATTAGGTTGTTTGTTTTCTAAGTTAATTTTAGGGTAGTGAGTGCTTTTGTGACTAATAAAAAATATAATTTTATTTTTGTTCTCTATTGAGATGAGTTTTTTTCTTTACATTGTGATGGGTTTTGTATAACGAAGGGATTAATAGTTGTCGTTTTGTTTTCTGGTTTTGTAATGACAATTATATGTTTCCTTTGTAAATATGAGGTAGTTCTTTTAATCTTTGTGAGGGGGCTTAAAGGTGTTATTAATTTGTATTTTTCAGGCTAAAACGCGGAAGAAATAGCTGTGATGTTTGTGTTTGTGTCTAACACGTTTATAATTGTAATTGTTTTGTTATTGTATGTTAAGCTAGCAGCAGTGAGGGCAGGAGAAAGGTCTGGAGCTGGAGCAGCCTGCCAAGCTGCCCACGTGCTGCAGGCTGTGCCGTGCCATGGAGCGGCTCTGCAGAGCTCATCGTGCTCCAGAAACGCTTCCAGCAGCCTGGAGGGTCAGCACAGCCCTTTCCCCATCGGAGTGAGGCTGCAAAAGCAGCAGGCAGTGCTGAGAAGGGCTCAGCTCCTGCCTGCAGTGTCCTCCCGCAGGGCCGGGTGCCAGGGGTGTCTGCAGGTCACGGTGTAGGAGCACATTGCATCATCCCCTAACAAGGGAAGAGAAGGAGGTTAATGGAGAAGAAATTATTAACTAAAAGATGTAATTTGCCTCTGATTTTCATAGATATTCAAGAACCTCTCTGAGCATTAAGACACCAGCTGTTAGAGAAGCCCTTAATTTGGTGTGTTTGAAACATAGCAGGAAGCTGCCTAATACTAGGGATTAAAAGCCTGTTTCTGTGAAGTAGGAGCAAGAACCTGCTATCAGAACAAGGGGCTGAGTATTTTAGAGGGATTTATGACTGCTGGGATCCTTTAGCTATGCAGATGTGACAATCTTTTGAATGGTGTCTGCTTCCCATGTCGCCACATCTTCAGTGTCTTTATTAAATAGGATATTCTCGATCTGCCAGGCATGTCAGCATGGGGTTGGGAGGGAGCCTTTGTGCTGGGAAAAGCTGCCTTGCACACCCTGGCCTGGGCAACACTTGCCAGTTACTGCAGAATTTCCATCCCCTGAGGGTCAGGGAGGTCTCTCTGCCACCTGAGGGGCTGCAGCACTGATTAATTAGAGTCTCTGCCCTTCTGGTGGCTGCAGAATGGGCCAGGTCCCGTGGAAGGAGCCACTTTGGGTTATCTGGTCCAACTGGGGCACAGGATTGCATCCATGCAGTTCTTGAATAATGCAGTCAGGGAGACTCCACACCCTCTCTGGGCAGTCTGTTCCAGTGCTTGGTCACTGCACAGTGAAGAAGTTCTTTCTCATGTTCAGCTGGAACTTCCTGGGCAGCACTTTCTGCCCATTGCCTCTTTCTGGGCCCATCACTGAGCAGAGCCTGGTCCATCCTCTTGGCACCCTCCTGGCCATGCTGAGCACAGCAGTGGGATGGATCAGGTGTAGCAGTGATGGCTTTGTGGTGTCTGCCCAGCTGGGAAGGCTGGGGATGTGCAGTGGGTACCTGCAGGATGCAGGTGGGTGTGGAGATGCAGCACAGCTTGGCAGCTCTAAGGCCTCACACCAACGTGTGGTTGCAGTCAGTGCTGCTTCAGATTTTGTGTTTCCCCTTTAATAGATGTCATTTCATCCTAAGGGCTCAGGAATTCATCCAAAGGCTTCAGCTGTGAGACTGAGGAGATGGCAGCGCCCAGGGGATGGGTGGAGGAAGCAGATTCTGGCTGCTGAGGCCGGTGTACCCCAGCAGGGCTGGGCAGCAGCCAGCCTGGCTCCTGCTGTGTGCTCCACATGCACCCCAGCACTGATGGAACACCTCGTGCTGCTGCCTCCAGCCTGTCCCTGCTCACGTGGCCCTTGGTGCTGGTGCCAGGGACCCTTTTCCCCATCCATCAGTGCCAGTGCAGCCACACCCAGCAGGATGGGCGCTCCACAGCATCCCAGCCATCAGCAACTAGGAGCTTCTTCTTCCTGGGGTGGTTCAATAACCACTGATGACTTGTGTGGAGCTTGGGGTGCTGTTGGACACGCCAGCATGAGGGTTCCTGCTTGGAGGAGTGCCCCATGGCATCGCTGCTGCCTTATTGCAAGGATTTAAATCAAAGCACTCCCCCAGTGATGCTTCTCCTGTGCAGTCCCTCGTGGGCACGTTGGGAGGGGACTGAAGAAGAGGGATCTTCCATCACTTGCCAGAAGCTTCCCTTGGTCCTTCCATGCTGAGCCAAAAGCACATTCAGAGCCATCTTCTTCTGGGCACCCCTCTCCTCTCCTTAAAAAGGGTTGTTCCCATTGGCAAAATGCTCTGTGAGGTTAATGAGCAGAATGGATTGGAGCTGATCTATTCCAGTCACACCTCCTGGTCTAGCTGGGAGGCTCAGCAATGGATGCAGCTCACTAAAGACTAGATTAGAGTGATTTTTCCCCTGTTGCCTCACGGTGGGGCAGAGCCTGAGCCCTGTGCCATTCCCAAATCATTGAGGAGTTATTTTCCAAATGGGTTGTTTGTTCATTCTTTATCTGGTTGTTGTCTCTTTGCCATGAGGGAATAGATATTTTTGTTTAAAAGCTGTTTGCAGTTTCAGACTGTTGCTTTTATGCCATTAATATAGAGAAATCCCAAAATACTGCCTGTGGAGCCAGCTTTTATTTGCTGGATTATTGCTCCATGGCAAATGGGATGTCAGGGCAATGCATGGCAGCTGGGAGCAGCTGTGTCCCCTTACCACAGTCCATTCCCATCCCTACCTCTGCCTCTCACCCTGGCTCTTGCTCCAGCTTGGTAAAGCCCCAGGAGGACACAGAACACCCACACAGCCCCTGTTTGATTCCTCCTGAGATGCAGCAAATCTGGGGAGTTCCAATCTGAGGGCAGGTAAGGAGCCAGAATGGTTTGGTGGCTGGAGGCAGGGAGAACATTCATGCTGGTGCTCCCTC